ACATGAAAGGTAAGGAAGTTTTGTGCTAATTACCCAAGTTTTTTTACACATGAACAAACATACAAAATAGTAAAAATAGACAACATTTTACGGCATGCATTTATGGCATGCCTTGAAGGAAGACTATTTATGGTGTGCACTTTTTGTATGCCGTAAAAAATCAATAACTTGAACTATTTACAGTGTGCATTTGTGCACGCCGTAAAATGTGAATATTTACGGCATTCTTTAAGGGCATGCCGTGTTTGGTTAAAAAAAATTGGACTTATTACGGCGTGCGTATGTACTAAAAATTACTCTTATTATGGCGTGCATACGTACGCCGTAAATGCCTTTTTTCGCTTTTTCCCTTATCTTTTCGTCTCGTCCCAATTATTTTCCATCTCATTCAATTTTATGAAATAGGGCCGGCATCTTCATTTGTTCTTGCTGTGTTCATGCCGTTATCTCCAAGAAATCCACCTTGAATCAGTCATCAACCGCCTCCGAGTCTCCGCCGTCCAAATCCTTTCGCCGTCCAAATCTCCGGGTTTTGGTACTCAGGTTCACTCATTGAGCATAAAGCTGTATTTCCTCTTTCTGAGCTGTCTAGGACCTCTTATCTTCAATAAGAGAAACTACACGTATTGCATAATATATATCCAGATGCTATGAACTGGGTCAAGCCCCTTCTGGTTCAATTATCCATCAACTTTGAAGCCCTTCATAATTATATATCCTTTGATCAAATTTTGATTTTTTAGATATAATTTTTGGATATGATTTATGCCCATCACATTCTTTATGTTATACTATATTTGCAAGAAAATAATACTAGAACCTTAATAAGCGAAACTGCACATATTGCTTAATATTGCTCCTGATGCTGTAAACTAGGTCAGTCTCTTGTGGTGCAAATATCGATGTACTTTGGAGCCCTTCCGGTTTCCACTAATAGTGCCTAATCTTCTCTTTGCTTGGTTGATGAAAAACACTATTGGTCGTCAAATCTTCACGTTGGTTCCCAAATTGTAGATTGCCTTAGTGGATTAGATTGTTCTGTCTTTGAGTCTATTGATGTTGCAATATTCAATACTTCGTAAGATTTTTAAATTTAATGTCAATTTATGGTAGGTCTGCTATGGGTGGAATCTTCATCTATGGATGTCGTTGTATTTATCAGTAGCTCATTTGAACTTCCCAGTGACCAATTGCTTGTGAACATCTCAATGGTGTTGAGGGTTGGTGGACATATATATGATTAATGTGTATCTTTTTGTTTTGTAATTATTATGGGTTTGTTGGTAATTAAATAGACAAATATTTAAAAAAAACTAAATTAACATTTACGGCGTGCATGTGCATGTCGTAAAAAGTGTAAACTCACTATTTATGGCGTGCACGTGCATGCCGTAAAAATTGTAAATTCACTATTTACAATGTTAAGCTTTTATGGCGTGCCCTTGCACGCTGTAAAAAGTTATTAACGTCGTTATTTTACGGCGTTCTTTGCACGTCGTAAAAAAATCTTCCTATTTACGGCATTGCTTTATACGACATGTGGCCGCACGCCATAAATGTGAAATACCCTATAGTAAAAAAAAAAAAAAAAAAACTAATGATATATTCTAGAAAACAAAATAAATAAAGGGGGAGATAATTGGGTTGCCTCCCAAATAAGCTCTTGCTTATAGTCTTTAACTTGACTTTGATGTTCCAACTACTTATGGTGGCCTAGGAAGATGGTTTTTAGGCTTGTATCGACTGCGCTGACAGTTGTTCCTTATGCCACATCTATGCCTCCCGATTACGAGATTTTCATTATTGTCTCGTTCAACAATTCTACCTTCTTCTTCCTTGTTCGTGTTTATTCCATAATGGTCTATATTTTTGCACTCGTCAATGTCATGTGGTTGCTTGAGTGGAGCATTCATTGTGAAGCCTTGTTGCTTTTCTTCCATCCTCTCTATATTGAGACGATGAAATCAATTGGAAATAAGTTATCTCCAACTTTGATGTGCATATCATTTGCTACTCCATAAGGATGCTTGAGTGTCATGTCGCCGACTATAGGATTATTGATATTTCATTTGGATCATCAAATCCTAATTTTCTGCAATTTTCTTTAGCTAAACAGTGGCATTGGATTAATACTTGCCCTAGACTCAATTAAAGCATTTAAATCCTATAAATTTCCTAAAGAAGATACTGTGAAATGCCCTGGATCTTTTAGTTTTGGAGAGAGCTTATGTTGTATGATTGCATAAAATTCTTCTATCAAAGTCACTGTTTCATCTACTAGCAACTTTTTCTTCATAGTCAACATTTTTTCAGAAACTTTGTGTAATTTGAATTTTGTAGAATGGTATCAATGAAAGGTATGTTGATGTGAAGTTGTATAAGGCATCCAAGAACTTCTTAAATTGTTTCTCCAGCTTATTATTCTACAAACTTTGAGAAAATAGAGGTAAAAGTGTGTGTTTATTGATATGAACGATTGCTTTAACCTATAGATTGTCTGGCTATTAGTCTTGATTAACCTTCGATAATTCTTTGAACTATCCCAATTGTTCCTCGCTGGTACTTGGTACCTAATTCTCCTTAATCCCTTTTTTCTTCATAGTAATTTCTAGAAACTAAACTCCACTTCTTGTAGTAAAGTGATTTTTGTCCTCAAGATCATACATTGATTTTTGTCCTTTAATTAATGTGTTTTAGTATATTTTCCATTACTTTGTTTAGGTTTTTGTGGAGTACTTAGTATAAGTTTCTTCATGTACCATATGCATTACACACTCTATGATATTATTAGTGGGACTTGACTGTGTATATGAGATTTAGGATGACAATCACGTGTTGGTAAGGTGACTTTGAATATGAATTGACCCTATTTTAGTAGACCTAAACTCTACTATATTTCCTTCAAAAAAAGTTCAATGTCTTATACTCTTCTTTAGAGCCTATTTGACTCGAGCAATTAAGCCTAAAGGGTTTCTCATAATCTGGTGCCGATGGTCAATTGACTTGGTTTAATTGACATATGATACGACTACACCTGAATTTCTTCCAAAATGCAAACAAGTATTTGTAGAGCCTTTTAAGTATCTGAGGATCTACTGCACTACTTTTCAATGTTCCTTTCTAGGATTTGCCATGTATCTACTAATTGCATTGGCTGCACGTGCTAAATCAGGCCTTGCAACCCATTGTATACATTAGCGACCAACTGCACCAGGATAAAGAACTCGAGACATGTACTAAATGACTTCATCAGATTGCGGACACAAGTATGCTAAAAACCTAAAATGTGCAGCCAAGAGAGTACTGAAAGCCTTTGCATTCATCATGTTAAATCTTTGAAGTATCTTCTCCATGTACCTTTTTTGACTCAAGTATAATCTGATAGCCTTTTTATCCTTCAAGATCTCCGTTACAAGGATTTTCTTTATTGCTCCCTAGTCCTTCATCTCAAACTCTCCACTCAGTCGAGACTTCACTTTTCTGACCTCTGCTCTTTCTTTGGCTGCTATAAGCATATCATCAACATAAAATTATAAGTACGTAATCAATCCACCACTTTCCTTTCTGAAGTACACACAGCTGTCATAATTACACCTTGCCAACCCATGAGTAGTCATGAATGAATCGAACCGTTTATACCAGTGCCTTGGTGACTGCTTCAATCCATACAAAGATTTCTTCAACAAACACATGTAGTCCTTGTTTTTAGAGACTATGAACCCTTCTGACTGTTCCATATAGATGTTCTCTTCAAGTTCTCCATGCAAGAATGCTGTTTTGACGTCCATTTGTTCCAATTCCAAATCATTCTTTGCCACAATCCCAAGTAAAGCTCGAATTGAACTATGCTTTACAATCGATGAGAACACATCTGTGAAGTCAACACCTGGAATTTGACTGTAACCTTTTGCTACCAACCTGACCTTGTACTTGGTATCTTCAATCTTTGATGTCCCTTCTTTCCTTTTGAACACTCACTTGCAGCGAACAACCCTTTTGTCCTTAGGCAATTTCACTAAGTCCCAAGTGCTATTTTTGTTCGAGGATTCCATCTCCATCTGCATTTCAATCAACCATTTTCTAGAATCACTACAACTAACTGCCTCTAAATATGTAGTAGGCTCCTTAGTGGAGTCAATGTCTTCAACCACATTCAAAGCATAAACAACCAAATGATGCAAACTCGATTAGTAACGTTGCAATCGAACCCACGGGGATTGACATCGGATCCCAAGAATGCCCAAATAATGATCAAGGTTTAGGAATCGACCCGCAAAAGTGAACTAAGCAACCAAACGTATATGAAATGAATGACCTC